ATTATTTGAACGCTCAAAAAATATTCGTACAGTCGACAAATTTAGTTCCTAAAATCAAGAATGCAAAGCTTGTTTGTTTTTGTTAGAATGTAGAGAAAAGTCCTCTATTATGAGATAGGCGTCTAATATGAGATACCGGCGTTTTTGCTAAACTAATAAACGTTATCTATTGGTTCCACCATGAATTTATTGCTGTTAGATTGAAAACTATTTAATAGAAAATTCATTATTAGATCATGTTTGTAGTTATTGTAAAAAAAGATTTTAAAATTTAGATGTCTTCAAATTTTATTAAGATGAGGCTTTAAATCTTGTTTATTATTTAATAAATAAATATTTAGCAATAAATTTTTCATGTAATGATAGAATAAGATCATACTAACAGAAAAATACGAGATATGTTGAATCGTTTAATTACAGAAGTTAGATTTGATAATCGTAAAACCATAAAGTGTGGAAATCGTAATATGAGATACTCAAGATTTTTCTAATATAAAATAATCCATCCTATATTATAGTGGAAATCGTTACTAAAGAGTAAATATTATTGTACAATAATAAAAAGGACAACCAGAATAAACACTGAGGCCTATTTCATCTGCGATGCTTGATTCCAACTATTTGAAGAGTTCTGGGTATAATCTATGGCATACTCATTTTTCATGTACGCTGACTGTGTTTGTTTGTTTTTTAAAAACATGAAATAAAGTTTTTTGATTGCAATACTAACATACTCTGCGTTTTACTTCTATCGTTTTCTCGGGGCATCTCATATTGTAAGAGCACAATGTTTTGACTTTGCAATTTACTCACTTTTTACATTTCTTCAATTTAAAAAAAAATGGAATTTGAATTAAATTTTATATGACGTTATCTTAAAGCTTATTAAATTCCTTTCAAAATGACCTATTATTTTTTAAAATTCTGCCCATAGATTTCTAGTATTTATCCAAAATAAACTCATCTCATAATAGGAGCCTTTCCTCTATTTATTGTATAAAATTGTTAATTAATATTTATTTTCTACAAATAAGGCTTTTTTTATTAAAAAATTTCCAAATATTTTACAAATTTACATATTTTTTGCATTGTATTATATTTGGCCTATTATTTATCGAAGAATTTTCTAAACTGGTATACATGCCGCAACATGAACTAAACGAAATATAATTTGTTTTCACTTATTGTACCGTGTTTTATTTCACTTATTATACTGTGTGCACCAGTTCACTGAATTCATTGGTAAAGAACAGACTAATTGAAATTATTAAAAGTCATTTTCATTAATTGTCTTCTTTAGTTAATCGTAAATAATTGTTGTGTAATACATTCAATCAAATTTCATAAGATACTTTAATTACGATTTTCTATTCGGTATAACTAGATACACAATGTTTAGTCGTCATGTCATGTTAATATTCGTTATTTTATGCTCTAATCTACAGCTGTTAATGGAAAAATCGTATTTTGATTGGATTCAACAAATTAAGAATAAAATTTTATAATTTTATTTGTTATCCCAACAATATCAATAAATTTAATATTGTTTAATTCATACTATAGAAATGTACTCTAAATTCCTCTTTCTTGTTCCAACTGTTCTGTATACCATATTTTTCGTTTAGTTAAAATTTTTTGCAAAAACCTTGGACTTTATATTAATAATTCAAATCATGCAAGTACTAATTAAAAGAAAATTAAATCTGATTTTAATATATGATAACATGTAGCAATAATTTATGTTTCTGCATATTAATATTTCTAAAAACATGAAAAAATGTATAATCTTTACAATCAAATAGCAAAATAATCAGTCAATCTGAGTATAAAACAAAAAACTCTAATTAATTCTCTTATGCTTCATGCGTTATATAACATTATGTAAAAATTGTTGTGCTGCGACTTTAAGAATACAACAACTACCAACTAGCTAGAGTTGCCGATTGTGTTCAGAAACTTGGACGCATCTAGATATCATTTTATCCTTTAATATTCGGTGAGAAAGAGCTACAGAGATATAAATAATACCTTAAATTCTTGAACCCCTACAATAGCCAAAATTCGACTAAATTGCTACGTTCAGAAAATAAGAAATGCTATAAGAATCTACCGCGTATGTAACGTGAATTGTTCAGTTTTACTACAAATTATTATAGTACGCTTCTCTTCCTCTTCCCCCCTCCCTCTCTCTCTCTCTCTCTCTCTCTCTCTCTCTCTCTCTCTCTCTCTCTCTCTCTCTCTTTCTAAACGCAGAGAGAATACATCTCGACCACTGTCTTCTGAAAGTGAACGTAACTTTTATTGAAGTAATCGAAAATTAAACCTGCCCGCACGATTTCTTATTAAATAAATCAATCTACTTTAAAAATTAAAGCAATTGGAGAATCAATTCTCTGATTTTCGAAAATCGATTTTTAGATAATTGAATCAGAATCAAATATCCATATTGAAATTGTATTTCACGTATCAGATATCGATGTGTTGATCAACATAGATAACTAAGTGGTTCTTGGTTAGCAAAAGATGTCATGCAATAGCGATTCGGCCGAAGTAATCCATACATATCTTAAGCACGAGAAAGTGTTTAGAGTCTTAGATAATTAAAAAGCGAGAAAGGCAAGATGAATGCATACGAGAGTAAATATCTAAATATTATCATTCAAAAAATCGAGCATCGTGTGATTCCATCTGTTACATCCCGATAAAATTCTCTCTTTTCTTATTATAAATATACGATTCATACCTTACCTTTATCTTATCTCTAGTTTAGTACTTTGTCTTAGTTTTGATATTTTGTCCCTATTTTATCTTTATTTCGAAACTTATCATATCTTCTATATATTGTAAAATTCTTTTCCTTTTTATAGCAGGGCATATTAAGTTCCTTTATTTAAACATTCAAACCGACAGATAGCTCACGCGTCGCATAGAAAGAATATCTATCCTACAATCTCCCCTTTTTTTTTGAAGGTTCCTTTTTCTCCGCTTAATAATAACTAAACAATAACATATATGCTTAATAATAAGAAGTATTATATAATAAGTAGTATTATATATTATATATAGTATTATATATAGTAATAGTATATGTTAAGACTTTCCTGAATGCGAGGACAAATATTTATATTTTTCTTTTTTTTTTCTTTTTCTTTTCCTTTTCTCTATAAAATTAAAACCAATTAAAATATATCATTACTTCATCTCGCATAAGGATGTTAGTTGAGTAAAATCGAACTTTTATTATAAATTATTAAAACTCAACTATTATCTTAAGATTAAACTCGTAGAGCTAGGAGTGGGGCTTACGCGGAGTCTTAACGTACTGCCTTATCTTAAGGAAACAAGCGCGAGTATAGGGGCGGTTCTATCAAACCTTGGGGAGCATTGATTGGTCCTGAAGGGACACTCCCACCTTCATTTCCAAAATATATAAAGACCTGCAAAAAGCAGGAACTATCAGTGTCAGTGTGAGAGAAAGAACGATCAGAGAGAAAGAACGATCACACGAGCGGGTGAAACAGTACTTGTCCGACATAAGGTGAGAACCATCCTCGCGCTTCAAGTAACTTATTCATTGTTTTTCTTCCTTTGTTTTGTTTTGTCTTATTCATTAAACGAGAAAAAAACCAAACTAAAACGGCCGAGACCTGAATCTCTGCTCTGCGTCTCATTAAATTATACATATATACGTGGGTATCCGAGAAATCGTTGTGACTGTCGCTGCCAATAGCGTGGCCCCGACGACACTCCTTCGAATTAGTAATTTCTTTTCGCTACCTCCATGCCAATGAAAGGCGGACGGAAACAGCAGGAAAAGAGATTGAGGTTTCAAATTAAAACAGCTCTCATTCCTAATCACGATCCTTTCCCTTACTTTCAAAAATTAGCACAGTTCCTAGACCAGAAAAACCCGCAAGACACCCTGCGCGAATACCTATTCCTTGAAACGGTTGGAAATCAACCTCGCGTTTCCTAATTATAAAGACATCCAGAGGGCCGATCCCCGTAGATTCGCTTATAAACTCCGTAACCTTTTTGGTACCGGGTTTAAAATCACCCTTCCCAGCAATTATCCGATTCCTCCCAGCGAATATCCTTAACCGCACAATCTGATCTCCGATCCCTGGATAAATCGCTTAGATGCGTTGACCTTAAAACCGGAGAAAATCTCGAGCGACGTGACGTAACACCATCCTAAGAGTCGAATAAATAATAATATCAAATAAATTATAATTAAATAATTTATAATCTGAGTTTAATATATAAAACACATTTAAAGTAATTAAGGGAATCCTAAAACGAAACTCGAACTCTGACGAAGTCACCAGAAGTAGCTGTTTTTTCAGTGCATCGACATGTCTTTAAAAGGTGCGTTCCGAATTTCGCATGAAGCGCATGATGCATCATTTGTCCTTGTTGTTTACCAAATAATAAAGAAGAATAAAACAATACATCATTTTCTTTTAAAGAATTTTCTTTTAAAGAATTTATTATTATATAACATTTAGATATCTGAATAAGTTCATGCTCAAAATAAAAGAAAACGTGTAATAAACTATAATATGCTACGTTTTGACGAGAGTTCTTGTATCCCATGTCGAAATTTTCCTAAAAAAAAATGACAGAAAAGATATGATTTTTAATGTAAAAAATTTGTTCGCATTATTTAATGCGTGAGAATATTGCGCGATATCTTTACTTCAACGATTAGCTTTACTCCATAATAATTTCTTCATAAAGCACTGCAGAAAAAATGGCTCAGGACATTTCGACTCAATTTTAGATCAGGATTAGCATTATATAATTAGTGTTCGCTATTTAAGAAACCTGTATAGTTATTATTACTCTAATATTATAGTAGTAATAATCATGATGTTAATAATTATAAATAGTAATTTTTAAGAGAAAAAAAATTTAATGGCTAGCTACAGTCTACGTTTAGGTAGTTATCTTTTCATCAGTCGCGCATGAGGTAATATAAAGCTAAAAATACACGATGCACGATTTTTGTAATGATATGCATGCCTGCTCTGATGCATGTTGGAATATAACGTTCATATATTAAGCGTGGCATGTCGATGTGCATGACTTCTGCATTTATTATGTATTACTCCATAGCTTGTTTCCTTTGCATGTTTCCTCCAATCAAAAGATTAAAAACTATCACGTGATCGGATAGGCGATTGACTGCGATTGACAGCATCTTCAGAACAGAAATAATTGTACTAATTTCGTAGTTATCTATCAAACGTCAGACGGCATGCATCAAAGCAAGCATAGCATCATACACACATGCCTTTAGTTCAAAAAGTCAAGCATCGCGTGTAATTCTAGCGCTGGTAAGCGCGCATTTCAGCGTGTTCTCACAGGTGACTATGTAAACGTAATTTTATAATGGACCATTTAACACTTTATATCTCAGAAACTATTGCTTAAAATAAAAAACTACATTTAACTTTTTAATTTAAATTTTTTATTTCTTGCTGTAGAATATTTAGTCGCGAATTTTGGGAACCTCTCTATGTATGTATAGATATACATCGGTTTATAACGTTTTTCGTTTGTTCAATGATTATAGCTTCTTTAAGCTTTTTATTATTAAGTTTAATTTTTTATGATATATATTTTTTGTAGTAAATTTTTTAAATATACAATTAAAATTACAAAAAAATGGCTCAAATAATTTAAATTACAATATACAAAAAAAGAGAACTACGAGCCAATTATATTTAATCCATAAACAAAACGAACGTTTCGTTTACTTCCAACGAGATTATTTTCAATGTTAATTGTTAATTTTAAATATGTGAGAATAATTATACACTAAAGCGCAAGACTGAACCATTATATACTGTTAAAAATTTCATGAAATTTAACTTAAAAATATATTAAGTTACATAATTTGAACTTAATTTCATGACAGTACATTAAATTTATGTATTTTTTATGAAAATTTATGAAATTTAATATACACGTTTATTACATTTAAGTAACTACTGCAACTTAATTTTCAATTAAATTGTTCATTATTTTTAATTTCGTTTATAACCACGAGTTTCATTTACATGTAAATAAAATTTGTAATTACATTTCTCAATGTACTTCAATAATACATGGTTAAAATTGTATAAATTTATTTCAAGATTTTTCATTAAGAAAATATCAAATATAAGGTGTAGATATGGTCCTCATGTCAGCTGTCGTCGAGATGTGCAATCATGCATTTTTGAATATAATAACTCAGTTTTGCGTTTTCGCATATAATATCTCACATATTTAAAATTGAAATTAAGTTCACATCGAAAATGATTTCGTTGGAAGTTAAACCGTTTGTTTTGTTTATGAATTAATTATGAATTATAATTATCACTGGCTCATAATTTTCTTTTTTGTATGTTATATTTTAAATAAACATTATATAGTTTTATGAACTGCGATTATTTGTCAATTTTGAAATGCAATTCTGAATTGTCTCAGCTAGAATAATAATATCACAATTAATCTTCCGCTGAAGGACGCAGGTTCTCGCGAGATCCGCGAATTAGATTTTTTTATTTATTTTTTTCAACTATGAAGAAAATGAATGAATGACTACATATTTATTTCTATGTGTCTAAATATGTGTTTTTATTTCACCTTTTACATATTTGAAATAATTTTCTACATATTATAATAAAAAATTGCTTTTTAAACGTTTTAAACCAATATACCGCCTTGCGTGCGAATATCACGACATCCACTATCCGAGGATTAAATTCATAATAAAAATAAAAATAATAGTGCTAAAAATGATAATAAAATTTTATTTTCTGATAATAAAATGATAATAAAAAATCTTTTTTTTTCAGCTTTTATGCGTTAGTATTATATTTTCAGAGTTGGCAAGTAACACATTACTTGTAACGTCGGTACCGTTACAAATTACTTTTTTTAGTAACGCTTGAGTAACGACATTACATTTTCTTTTGAATAACGTTCATAGTAACGCAGTTACATTTTTGGAGTAATGGTAACGATTTCACTAGTTACTTTTATTCTATTTATAAAAGTTTTAATTGTAATTAGAACGTGTATATATATATATATATGTTTTATCAGATCTAAAGAGAATCTGATATGAAAAGGTCGGAACGTCTGCTGTATCTGTATATATGTTGCGTAATTGTTATTCTATTATAAACATATAAATAGTGTACAGCACGAACATCAAGCATGGCTTCTTCACATATTCATCAGTTTTTTAATTTTATTCTTCTAAAAAATAAAATTCTAATCTCTTTTTTGTAGTTATCGCAAGAATATACATAATAGCGTTTTAACGTTGGCACAATTAATGCACATTCAGTGCACTTTAAAACCGCTACAATCAACGTAAAGATGTATGGTTAATAAAAATATAGAAATGAGTTAAACCGCGAAATCCTCAATACATTTTATTATACTATTTGATAAAATATACTTTATATCGTAGACATAAATATCGTAGACATTATATCATCTCAGATATCTTATTTTTACATTTAGGTTAGAGTTGCGTACGACGGCTTTAATATGCACTAACAATAAATACTTACTTAATAAATACTTAAGTTTTACCAGTAAAAATGCTGTAATATTCTATTAGTGTCAAGAAAAAAAGTAATAACTTGTTACATTTTGAGTGATGGTAACGGTAACAAGTTACTTTTTCAAATCAATAACAGGTAATGATAAAAAACGAATTACTTTTTTAAGAAAAAGACCGATAACAATAACGAGTTATTTTTATGAGATAACGTTGCGAACCCTGCATATTTTATAGAAAGCTAGAGATAAGGATTAAAAAAAAACGGTAACAAAACGCGGTAACAAAATTCAGTATAAAATTAAATATTTTAGAAGAGAGAGGAAAGAGGAGAAAAGAGATAAAAGTTATTTGTGCTTGGCACTTGACTTGTATATTCCACCTGATATATTATTTAATATGCTATTTATAGATTTATTATCTATATGTATACATTCGTATGTTTTATATTTTTAATTTTCTTATTTCTACGTAAATTCTTTCCACGCGCGGGCCTCGGGCGCGCTCTTTATATTAATTTATTTTGAATTATATTGATTTATTCTTATTTATTATTATCGTATTATATCAAATTATATATTAGTATTCAATTATATACTTGATAATATATTATGATTTTTCTCTGCTTAAATTACACATAAGTGTAAGTTGATTTTGTATATACAAGCAAAATCGAAAATAGAGAGAAAATCTGCATATCAGAACTCCATAAAAAAACTAATAAGGTCATATATTTAAACATTTATTTACAAAAAATGTATCACAAACTTTTAAAAATTTGCTTATACAAATATTATGCAATTATACTTGTTACAATATATAATTGCATATCATAATAAGAGGATCAACTAATCAGAATCTTTCCTTTCTTTCTATTTTACGAAAAAAAGGAACTTTGATTGATTGATTCTCTTATGCTATACGTTATGTAAAAGTCTGTACTGCGATCTTAAAGAAAAAGCTATGTGATTGACGTTTACAATGAGAAGCACACAATCGACTGACCTACTTATTTATAAGATTCCTGCTATTGAGGGTGAAGGGAGAGAGGGGACAAGAAAACAAAGATTACACACAGACCTTATAGCCCGTATATTCAGAACATATCATTTTATCGTTTTATCGAAATAATAGTTCCATAAGCAAATATTTTATAAAAATGCGCTTTTATTTCTGAAATTTTATAATATGCGTAACGTAAAATATAAATAATATGTTAGTGCGCTAACATCGTTGTAAGCGCGTTCTGAATATGAGCTTATAATAAGTATAAACTAGTAATTGCTATAGTTTCTGCAAAGATATCTGGAGAAAATTGGAGAGAGAAACATAGTTTCTCTTCTCTTTTCCAAGTATTTTTCTTTCTCAAAATGTCCAGAAACATTGCACATATTAATTAAACATATGGCACGTTCATATTATATCATCTATACAATAATATATATAAAATAGATACAATAGTGATAAAAATTAACACTATTGATAGTAAAAAGTGCATGAAAAGGATATAATGTCATGTATGTAAAGACCGCAGCACAGACTTTTACATAACGCATAACGCATAATGCATAAGCAAATCAACTAATTAGAATCTTTCCTTTCCTCCTATTTCATGGAAAAGAAGAATTTTGATTGGTAATAAGATTTTGATTCTCATATGCACTATACATTATGCGTTACGCAAGAGTCTGTGCTACGGCCTTAACATTCAATTTTAAACTGATCGTGAGCAATCTACAGTAAGGCTATGTTCGAAAAGATGTTATTATTTGTATATCATTCCACTTATATTATTAGATGTAAAACGAAGAATCCAAATGCATCCCTGATGATTGAAAGTTGGATAAATTCAACGTATCTGTAGCGCTTGTTGGAGTGAGTAGGAACCTATTATTAATTACAGGAGCATGTTGTGACATGAACAAACCTATAATACTATTTTTTTAGATGATTTGGTTGGTAATTTTGATAAAAATCAAGATAAAAATGAAAATAAAAATGATGATTTTAATAAAACATCTATTATACTTATTCATTATTTATATTCAATAAATAAGGAGAATATTTTATATTCAATAAAATTTTTCTTTTAAGATCATGATAAGAAGGATGAAAAAAAAAAATTGGTGATATTCACTTAATTTATGGTTTATATGAGGATTTACAGATTTTTCGATTTTCACTAAAAAATAACGATTCATCTTAACTCTAAATAATTCTCTCAGCTCATAATTCCTTTTCTACGTGATTCTACATTTCAAATACTAAATAAAAAACACTATATGAGCCAAATTGGAAGCGGCCCAAAGAATAGTGTTAATTACTCTTCAGGAATGGTATTCCCTCTTAAACAATTTTCAACTTTATGTCTATCCCACCACTGAAAAACATGAAAATGCTTGATCAATATACATGAGGCATTCTACGTCAAACCGGGCACTCAAACGGTCTATTGTTACCTGAAGGTTATAAAATAGTTTCCCTCGACATTTCATCCATGTACTCAAACATTCCCATGGAATTGGTTGTAAATAGCGTTTTGAGTAGATGGAGTGAAATGGAGAAAAACACTTCCATTCCAATTCAGGAATTCAAAAGAGCTATTTCGATCATTTTAGAGTCAGCATACTTTAGGTTTAATGACGAGTATTATGAACAGATTTTTGGGCTGCCCATGGGATCACCATTGTCACCAATTGTGGCGGACCTGGTGATTCAGGACTTGGAGATTAGTATTTTTAGCAACTTGAGGGTGCACATGTCTTTTTATTATAGATATGTAGATGACATAGTGCTAGCTGCTCCCAAAGATGAGATTAATAACATCTTAGATTCTTTTAACGCGTATCACGAACGCATAAAATTCACGATCGATCACGGTGATGAGTTGG